TATATGTATTTTTTAAAGTACATTTTACTGTGTGACAATTTTAAAAATAAAACCCAAGTTCCTTACTGTGGTCTAAAATAGCATTTACCAAACTTCAGGTCATAATCCATTAATGGGCCCTGAAATCAATTTAGTGGACTGCAACCAGCACATTTAAAAGATGAAATAAAACAGAAAATATGTGTGTGCATCACATGTTGTGAGGGGAAGAACCGTTTCCTGAAGCTTGTGTCAGTTACATACATGTGCATGAACTTCGACTGTGATGGGAGCTGTATTTCTTACCAGGAAATCATGGTTGAAAATTTTGGAAGCCTAGCTGCCTTAATTAAGTCCCAGCCCCTGTCTGTCCCATCTCTTCCTTCCTCCCCCCCCCTCCCCCTGAAGCACCAAGGCCCCCTGCTGCCCTCTTGCCTGGGACATTCCTCCCCAGATCTTCACAGGGCCTTTCTCCTTGCTCAAGGCTTAGCTCAGATGCCCTCGCTGACCACTCATCTGAAGTAGGCGCTCCCCCCTCCCACTGCTTTCAGCCCATTACCTTCCTTTGTCCCCTTACTGGCCTCTCCTAAAATTACATTACTTATTACCTTGCTCGCTCTCTCCCTCCTCCACCCATTAGACTGCAAGCCGTGTGAATCTGTCTTGTCCCCAGCTCTCTCCCTAGCACAGTGCCTGACACACAGTAGGAGCTCCGTAGATATCTGTTAAATGAATGAATAAGTGCTGGAGCTACATAGCTGTGAACTAGACAGAGACAGTCTGCAAGGGAAGAGAGAGGAGTCATCACTATATTGTGGGCACGGTCTACTATGTTCAACGTGGGGCAGGGGCTACAAGAGCACCTGGAGTATATCGGGGCAGGCACTTGGAGGCAAAATGTGAAGACTAAAGGATCAGCAGGAAAGAATCTGCTGGAGTGGAAGAGATGGAACAGAAAATGGAGTTTGGGGTGGGAGGATCACTAAGAAGAACGGCTTAGCAGTAAAGAATGTGACGTGTCCAAGAAGCACAAGAAACTGGGGCAGTGAGTGGCACAAGCTAAGGGTGGGGGCCCTCAGGGGCCCCACTAAGAAGCTGGACTTTATCCTGATGACACCTGCCCTTACCACCCTGTGAGGGCTGGTACCTCTCCTCCGATTTCCCAGATGCTGGGCTTCCTGTATTCATACTCTCGCTCCAGACCAGGCTGTGGCTCCTGGAGGACAGGGGTCAGCTGCTGGCACTCACAGAGCCTGGCACAAGCTGAGCGCTCAGCATGGCACTTCAGTGACTCAGTCGAGGCCAGGTTCAAGGTTACCCACCCAGTCCAGTGAGAGTCAAGTCCAGTCAAAATCACCCTTGAAATCCCTCCATTTGCCCAGCAAGTACAAAACAGGACCATCTGGGGAGCCTAGCAGCCAGCTTTGCCTCCAGGATTGGAACACATCGCTGGGTGTCCTTTGGTTGAGCAGCAGGTGGAATAAAAATGGTTCACATTTTGGGGCCAAGTTATATGAAAAGAACAAGCTGTAATTTTAGCAACAAGAATCCCTGCAGGCCCAAAGGGTGCTCCTGCCCAGGCACAGCTCAGGGAGCTGGGCCACCGGGGTGCCCAGAGAGGACCCAAGATCAAAGTAGGTACCACCAATGCTAGGACCAAGGGCCTCCCACTGTCCCACCCACCCCACAGCTCCCCAGAAGGTGACCCTCCAGAGAAGAGCTTAGTAGAGAGAAACTGGGGTTTGCGTCAGGAAATGCCCCAGAAGAGAAGACTGAACTGTGATTCTAAGTAAGTTAAGCTCCAGAAAACAGAATAAACGTCATAATAATACTAACCCCGAGTCCTAAATAAGAGCCAGGCACAGGCTTACATTTCCTCGTTTACTAGTCACATCAACCCTGTGAGATGGGCACTATTCTTATCACCATTGCAAAGGGGAAATTGAGGTGGAGAGGTCACCATGGTGGCCACTGTCACCCACATAGTAAATAGAGAAAAAATTTTGAGTCTGCGCTCTTAACTTCCACCCTATTACCTCTCACCAAAGACTCAGTGGTCAAGAAATCCTTTTAATTTGCTTTCTACTAAAATACATATGCCCTGGCCAGTGCGGTTCAGTGTTTAGAGCATCAGCCAATGCACTGGTGGGTCGCAGGTTCGATTCCCGGTGAAGGGCACCTACCTGGGCTGCAGGTTCATTGCCTGGCCCCAGCTGATTGGTGCAGGAGGCAACCAATCAATCTCTCTCTCTCCCTCTTCTACTCTCTCTAAAAAAAAAAATTAATGGAAAAATATCCTCAGGTAAAGATTGACAACAACAACAGCAAAATAGAAATATACACTATTTGTTCAAGTATAATATTAATCCCTAGCACTGTCTTGGGAAGGAGTAGTAACAGATACTTTTTTTTTAACACTTATCTGAGGATATTTTTTCCATTGTCTTTCAGAGAGTGGAAGGGAGAGAGAGAGAGAAACATAGATGTGAGAGAGACACGTCGGTTGGTTGCCTTCTGCATATGCCTCGGGGATCGAGCCTGCAACCGAGGCACGGGCCCTTGGCCAAAATCGAACCCGGGACCCTTTAGTCCAAGAGCCGACGCTCTAAACACCGAGCCAAACTGGCTAGGGAAGTACCAGATTATTTTAATTTTTATGCTCTTTTCTGTGTTCTAAATGGTCTCCAGTAGGCATGTTTTACTTTTAAGAAGAAAAACAAGACCTGACTTTATAGAACACTTTTTTTAAGAGATGGGCTGGGATTGTCCACATGGACAGCAGAGATGGGAGGCAGGGGTGAAACAGGGCAGGGGAGGGGCAAGGCGCCCACCCCTTCAGCACCCATGGACAGCAGTGACCCAGAGCAGGAGTCTGAACACCTGGATTCTCGACTCAGCCTTTCTGCTTTCCTGCTGTGTGACCGTGGGCTCCTTGCTTCCCCTCTCTGGGCCCGCTTCTCTGCAGGAGAGGCCCAGCTGCCCCCAGGAGATTCCTGCATGGGGATTCTCCAGGCAGGAGGCCCTGTAGCCCACAGTGACGTGACTCAGAGCAGAGAAGTACCCTTGTGCCCTGGGGGCCCCCCAACTCCCCAGCCTCTCAGTCCTTAGGCCTTAAAGGTCACTTCTGGGGCAGATGCACAACAGCCCACAGGGCCACTTCCCTGCTGGAGGAAAAACCCCAGGGAAGTGTCTGCAAACAGGAAGTGAGGGTGGGCGCAGAGAGGTGAACTGGGACAGCGGTGAACCCGCCCTGCATTGTCTCCTCGCACATTATTCCGCTCAGTGAGGGGTTGCCGTGTATGTTATCTGTCCCCTCCACATGACTGGGCACTCAGCTCTGGGAGGGCAGCGGCCTGTTCACAGCTATACCCCCAGCACAGTGCTGTTTCACTCAATAAGTAGCATTTCAATGAATGAATAAATGATCCAGTGAATGAATGATGTGTAGCCTCCCAGCTGCCTGTTTGCAGCTCAGAACACTACCACCCATCCCCAGCCCCAGGGCCAGGGCCAGTCTCCCCGAAGAGCTGTCCCCTTCTCACCTTGGCCATGGCTGGCGAAGTGGTTGTAATACTGGGACACGTAGGTCATGATGCTGAGGCAGTCGGGGACACGCATGGAGACCATGTCATTGGGGTCCAGGAGAGCAGGGATGCCCAGCTCCTTCTCAGCCACTTCAAAGGCCTGGGGTGGGGGCAAGTGTAGGGGTGGGGGAAAGCAGCCACAGCAGGAAGAGGGGGAGGAGGCAGGATTAGTGGACGCCCCTCTGTGGGATGAGGGGAACCAGGGCAGGGGTGACTATGGGCTCCCCTCAGCTGACTCCACATAATGACCTGGAGAAGAGGGAGGCTTGGTGCTCCAGCGACAAGTGGGCCAGAGGGAAGCAGGGGGTGGGGAAAGGAGCAGCCAGGGCCCTGAGTGCAGGGCAGCCCCTCACCCTACCCTGCAAGACCCCTGCCCATCCCCCACACACCCCACAGCGTCTTGTGCTTCCGTCTGTCTGGGGACTCACCAAACGATTATTCTCGAAGACATTTTCCTTGGAAAGTGAATCAAAATCTCTGCAAGAGGCAAAGGGGAGGAGAAGCATTGAGAAGGTGACTGGGCAAATGTGTGAGTCTGGAAGGAGCCTGGTGGAGGTGACCTCATCCCAAGGGGATGTGTGAGTCTGGAAGGAGCCTGGTGGAGGTGACCTCATCCCAAGGGGAGGGTCTGTGGACTGTCAAGGAGGAAACTGAGGCAACAAGCATACATGCTTGTAGAGTCGGGCCTTTCCAGTGGGGGCACAGGATGAGCTCCTGGCACCCAGAGGCATCCAAGCAGAGGCCACAAATCACTCGGAAGGGGCAGGGCTCAAGTTCAAGCAATCATGTTTAAGATCCCTTAACTCACTGCAAATCTGTACACCCTTCCCCAGGAAGTCACATCCTGGTCAGACCAGGACAAATGCTCATAAAAACACCGACATCCGTGGATTGAGGACCTCACGCCAGTGCTGTGCTGCGTTCCTGTCTTGAATTTACATTATTTTCAACTCTATCTGGCAGGTATTTACCCCACATTGCAGATGAGAACACTGAGGCCCAGAGAGGGGAAACCAGCCAGCCCTGGAAATCCACATTCCTGGTTCTTCTACTGTGTGTCTGAAACCTGGAGAAACCACATCAACATGCTTACTCCCAACCCAGCCCGGAAGATGAATGTTTTTTAATGGGGCGAGGACTAGAACAAGTATGAACTAGATGGAAATTGTACAGACTAGAGCTGCTGGCAGGCACTGAACAGCTGGCTGCCCCGGCTGGGCCACTCCTGGGAGAGCACTGAAGGGTTTCCCAGTTTCTGAGCTGAGACAGGTGAGAGGCAGTAGGGCCAGCCTGGGGGCCTGGAGGGGACAGCTGGCCAACCTACTGGCTTTCTTTACCCCGCTCCCCCGCCCCTGCTCCAGGCTGCTAAAGTGGCTGAAACCGGTGGAGGCAACCCAGCCTTCTTGCTCCAAGCCTCCTGGGTGCACCGCCCAAAGCGTTGCCCTTCTACCGCTGAAAACTGCAGCCTGGCTGCTCAATGCAGTGGGCCCAGAGGCTGGAGCAGGCCCTGCGTCCTCCAAGGTCTGGGGCCCAGGCCCTGCTCTTCCAGGCTGAGCTGTGTGACCTTGAGCAGGTGGGCAGCCTTTGCAGCCTTCATTTTCTCATCTGTCAGCTGGGTAAAGCTCCAGTACCACCTCCCAGGCTGGTGGGGAGGACGGGTAGAGTCTGGGCTTGGTGAAGGTGAGGCGTCACAGACAAGGGAGAGGCAACCACACCCCCCTCCCCTAGACCTCCTACCCCCTAGCTTCTCCAGGCAGAGTCCAGGGACAGTAAGTTGAGAACCCAGGAAGGAGGTGCCCCAAGGTTGGGTGGACTGGAGAGAAGGGAGGTGACTGTGGATGAGCTTCAGCCCCCTTTTGCCACCTCTGGCCAAGCCACTTCCTGCTCCCCTTGGCTGGGTCCCTAACTCCCTTTGCTTTGCCACTGCCTAAGAGCATGACCCTCAGCGAGCTGTAACCTCCTAAACTTCAGCCTCCTGATCTGTGACCTGTAAAGGGGCCAAAGAGACACCAGCATAAGCCCCTGACTAAGGCTTGTTCCCAGACCAAATGAGACAAAGCAACTTGTCTCAGCCATTTATTTCAATCTCCCCAATAGTGTTCTTAGAAGGATGGGATTATGTTTTGTTCACCCTGAGTCCCCAACGCTCTACACAGTTCCCGGTACTTAGTAGGTGCTCAATAAATGTTTACTGAATGAAGAAACACGAAAGCAGTGTGAAAACTGTAAAGGCCCCCAAGACACTACAATTATTCCTCCAGTCTCTTACCCTGCCCCCATCTCTGTCTCTAATCAACATCTGGGCTTTCGTAACAGAGATTTTCTGAGAGTTTCAAAGGCCTGGGAAGTTCTATTTGGCTCTGGGAGAGATGAAGGGCACAAAAGTGAAACCCACATGGTTTCTGCCCTCAAGGGAGCTTAAAGGTGCCTGGATTGGGGGAAGAGGGAATGAACATGGCAGCAGAACCCTGCCCCCAGCAAAGGCAGGGCCCACAGTGCCAGGAGCTTGAACCACTTTAGAAGACGATGCTTGCAACACCCTACTCTCATGGAGATCCCCCCCTCCGCATCACCGAGGCCCTCTCTATGCCTTATGTGGGACCTGGGCCTCAGTTTTTGTCCTATGCAATGGGCCGGCAGCCCCAACACTGGCCTGCCTTACAAATGAATGCCTGGGTGTGATTCTGGATCTCTTCTCAGGAGGGGAGCCACCAACATCAACCACATCCCTCCCCTGCTTAAAACCAGCATGGCTCCCCATGGCCCTGTGCACCTTCCTTAGCCAGTAAGAGGCCCTAAGCACTCTGGCCCAGCCACTTCTCTGGCCCTCCCCGTTGTGGGCCATGGGCTCCAGCAGTGGCCCCCTTTGCCCAGGACGCCCTTACCTGGCTCCTGCTATCCCCTTGAAGACTATGTGGCATCTGGGAGGCCCGCCATCCTGGCCCCCTGATATAGCACTTCCCACAGGGAACGATCACCCCTGCTTCTACATCTGTTCCTCCCAGATTCACCCTGTAGAAGCGTGGGAGACTGTGTGGGGTTTGTTTCTTTGCTGGTTGGGTGTTATCTCCATAACCAGGCACGGTGCCCAGCAAAGTAGTAACTCTGTAAATACTTGTTGAATAAATGAAGGAATAAGACACTTTCACCTTCATCCCCCTACTGCTTAATAACGCTACTTATAATAACTAATGTTGATTGAATGCTCATTGCCTCAGGTAAGCCTCACAACCACCCTCCGAGGTCAGGCCGATCATCAGACCCACTTTACACATTCGGGAACTGACACCTGGACCGACGCAGTGCTTTCCCCAAGGTCGCACACCTGGGACACGGAGGCGCTGAACACAAATCCAGCAGCCTGCACTTTGATGCTGGCAGGCTCAGGCCTACCAAGCAGCTTAATTTGACACCCAAGTCCCTTCACATGTGGCCCTGTCCCCTGCCTCCTGCCTCACCACCTGCCCCCAGCCAAAATAGAAGACCCCCTCAAGCCCTCCACTCCATTCTGGGTGACCTTCTCGGTCCTTCAGGCCCCCACTCCTGAGAACCCCTCACATCTACTAGTGCAGTTGTCACATGTCCCACAGCAGGCAGGGCCCACCTACGTCTGTCTGCACCTCAGTTTGTTCTCTTCTGCATTCACACCCCCAAAGCCCTCTCCTCCAGGGCCCGACTCTCCACCTACAGACATTGTACCACATGACACAGAGTAAACTAAGCACACATGCCAGCGAATCCTCCAGGCGTCCTTTCCTTCCTCCCTTCCTTCCCTCCTTCCTCAATGCCCTCTCAGGTGCCGTCCTTGGGGAGGCAGGTCTGGAGATGGAACAGACACAGACTCTGGACCCTGCCAGGCTCAGGGTGCCCTTGGTGGGGGGCGCTGTAAGCGGGAGAAATGGCAGGCACCAGATAAACTTTCACTCAGGGTTTTATGAACGAATGAATGAATGAATGAATGGAAGAGGCGCCAGGGCCCAAAGCAGAGGGAGCTGAGACAGAAGCCCCAAGTCAACTGCTGGCGGCGGGATCTGAATACTTTCTCCCATGAGAACCTCACTGGGCAGCTGGGCACAAGAAGGGGGCATCTCACACTCTGCAGACGCCTGCTGGTGGCTGTCAGACACCACGAGTCCTCACTTGGCCTTCCTGTCCCACTGCGCACAGCAGGACCTTGGGGCACACACCTGGGGGGACGGGTCCGCGTCCTAATGGGGGCCTTGGGGGCTTTACATCCACTCACCCAACCACCGTTAACCCCGCGTCTCCGCCGTGCCAGGCACCGTGCTGGTGCCCTGGAGACGGGATCGCCCGGAATCAGAGAAGTGAGGTTCACGGAACCGAGAGCAAGGGGGCGCCCCAGAGGGAACAGGCCTCAGCGCCTCACAGGGAGGGGTGCTCAGTGTGCCTGTTCCAGAGTTTAGCGCAGGACAGGCTGGGTCCCCAAAGAGGGCTGGGCGCCCCTTCAAAGAGTCAAGGCCTCGCGGGGAGGTGGGGGTCCCCTTGGGCGGAAATCAGTGCCTTGTGGGCGGGGCCACTCCCACCCCACCCCCAACCCCGGCGCGGAGGTAGCGGCGCCCCGCGGGGTCCGGCTCCCAGTGGGCGGGGCCAGAGGCCCGGTGGG